CGGAAAAGACACTTGCCCTCTTCACACCCCAAAAAAATTAGCTGGGTACCAAACTGAGCTTGTGCTATGTGGACCACAGTAGACCCCGGCCTATAGCACAGCTGGGTCTCCTAGTCTCATGGGTGGTGTCACCGGATATTAACCTTTATTCATAAGATATGTTCTTTGAAACAATGAGTGCCTGCTGCTCCCCTGGGCCTAACCTGTGTATGTTGTGCTGTGATATATTATAATGGTGTATTTTATATTGTATCACATTGTGTTGTGTTTAATGTTGAGAGCAACTCAGGTTAGAGCAGTCTTACTTGGCCAATAAACCTCAACTTCAACTTTAACTTCACCTCTCATCCTCTGACTGATGACTAATGCTCTCCACTCATATATCGATCACATCCAACATCCAACTGTGCCTCTGCTCCATATAAACCTGCTCTTGTCAGTATGATAACAGTATAAATGATCAACATCACACAGGCCACAGAAGTAACAAACATTACTAAGGATCTTCTTCAAGGATTTATTTCTACTTGGGTACAGGACATATATATATATATAGAGGTTAAACCTGCACACCTGAAACACCCAAATCCTGCTATTCTACCTTAATGTAAAATGCCACAAACATCACTTATGGGATAACTAATGTTAATTTAAATTACTAGTTAGCTAGTCAAAATAACTACAGAGGGCTCTACCTGGACACCACATAACAAACAGAGTAAACTTAACAGTCCTTCAGTAGAGCAGTACTAGAAATCATGGTCCTCATATCGTTTGTCACGTTAGTTACTTGGCACTCCTCTGTATGATCGTACTGAGATACTGGATGAATTGTGATCCCTCCTGTAGATCTGTGTGGTGTCAGTTTGTGTACAGAGAGAGAAATCACAAAATGGAAAACAGGTGTTAAACTATAGAGGGATTGTGAAGAGTCTGGAATTATGTTGGGCTTTGTGTTTGCATTTAGTAGTGCTGCAATGAGACAATCAACCTCAAAACAACCAATGTGATTTTTATTTATTAATTATTCTCGCAACTTTACGAAAGGGCTGAATTGATTGAAGCGGTTATACGCTGTTGACGTTTTTATTTCCTCTTGCAAAATTTTGCGTAAAAAACACTGAAACGAAACACTGCGTAGTCTTCACTATTCAGTTTATGTGTATGGCAGTGATTGCTTAGATTAAATTGAATACGTTCCTTTTTTGCCACTTTTTTTCTTTCTTTCTTTTTTACTAACACAAGATAGATGTGTATACGAATGAAGGAAAAAAAAAACGTACAGATATTCACATGCCTGTAAAATAGTGCGCAATAAGCCCAACACT